TAAAGTTACATAGGTTTCAGGTGTACAATTCTGTAATACATCATCTATATATCACATTGTGTGTTCACCACCCAGAGTCAGTTCTCCTTCCATCACCCTATAGTTGATCCCTTTGACCATTATCTACCACCCCCTCTCCCCCCTTACCCTCTGGTAAACACTTTATTGTCTGCGTCTATGAGTTTCTGTTTCTTCATTGTTTGTCCTGTCCTTTAGTTCTTTTCAGTTTTATATATCATATACAGGTGAAATCATACGGTTCTTGACTTTTTCTGTCTGACTTATTTTGCTTAGCATAATACTGGTGAACTTCATTAAAAGAAAAAAAATTTTTTTAAATTACAGTTGATATTCAGTTTGGTGAACTTCTGCCTTAATTTCTACCCTGTGCCAAAGTTCTAATGAATAATAAAATGGACCACTAGGTTAACCAGGAAAAGGGAAGAAAAATTAATTTATGTATTTGCCAGTCTAGGTTCTCAGTTATGGGATGATTGATATTGATACCATGACTTCAATATTGACAATCATAAATGTTCCACTCATGCTCTGGGGTCAGACTACTCAGCTTACATCCTGACTTAATTATTTACTAACTCTGTGACCTTGAACAAGTCACTTTGCTTTTCTGTGTCTTATGTTCCCCTTCTTTAAAATAGGGTTAATAATAGTACTTCCCTTATAGGTGTGTTGTGAAGGTTATATGAGTAACACCTATTTATTGTTTCAAACAATGCTATGAACATAGTAAGCACTTAATAAACATCAGCAATGATCATTATTAGCAAAATGAGGGGACACTAGGTTAATCTATCAAAAGGGAAAACAATGTACTAACAGATAAGTTAGGATAGTGGTTAATGGAGTTTAAAGGATATTTTCATTACCCTTTTAAAGAATAAGTCCTAAAAGACCCCCAAAAGGTGGTTTTCATGACCCTTTTAAAGAAGGAGTCCTAAAAGACCCCAAAAGGTGGTAGGTACCCCCTGTTTTACAAGGAGGGAGAAGTAAGCACAGCTATTAGGTCCCTCAAATTCAAGATACAACTACAGAGAAGTAATGGTTCTACATCTTGGGAGAAGGTTATTTACATTAAAAAAAGAGAACCCCTTGCTTTTCTTTTCATGAAAAAGAAAGTCTAGTTGCCCATAGTTGGCCCCAAAAGGTCTACCAACCTAGAGAAATACTTTATAAAAATGAAAGGGGATAGAGGAGAAGACAGACAAAGTCATGCTCTTGAGTTTTTTCCCCTCCTAGTTTGTTCTCATTTTAGAGAAAAAGGAGGGGGAGGGGATGAAGGAAGAAAGGCAAATAAATAAGACAAGAGGAGTGTAAACAATAGGAGGTAATGGTAGCTAAGAGCAAGGTCTTATTATAGATGTAGTGACCAGTCCTGTTCCCAATGGAGCGAGCAGTTCTCGGTCATTTCACAGAAAACAGTTAAAACTGAAAATCAAAATATTTTGTTTAGTATAATCTACATCAAAACATCTTTCTCTCATCACCAAAGTTCCCATCTTAAGAGTACCTCGTAGACCAGTTCTTGCTGTCCTGCCTTCACCCTTTGGGCACCCATTTTATAAGGAATAAAATTTAAAAGCTGCGAGAAATCAGGAGAAAGGAGGCAGATGAGAGGCCAGATCCATGGACATAATTCACAATCTGGGTCAATGACAAATTGCCTGCACTGGATTTGGAAGCGTAGGGAATTAATTCCATAGTGCCTTTTGAGTTTCTTTGTGTTCATTCTAATAGTCGTATCATACTTCTAACCTTTTAGAGGAAGAATTCAGGAAGACAGAGATATTTAGAGTTCAAATTTTAATGCTATGCTTTTCATCACAAAATAGAAAGAAGACTGAACTTTTGAGCAAGAAAAATGCTCTCAAGCAATAAGTGGTAAATGGGGGTAGAGGTGTGACAAAACCACAGCAGAAAGACAGCACATATCTCACAAAGCTGTACTCATCTCACACTCTACTCTATTTGGACTTCATATAAAAGAAGTCAGCAAGGTTCTAACCCATGGAGTCTTCTGCTCATTTATAGGACAAAACGCCACTCAGAACAGATGGGTTTTCTGGACACCAACATGCAAAAGGGAAAGCTTCAATTTACTAAGCAGTTCACATTCAAAGGCTAAACTACTTACAAACCACACTCCTAGGTTCTGGTTTGCCCAACACAAAAAGCATGCACAAATGCACCCCCTTCTATTTTAGAGGACAGAGCTCCTGTATTATCCAATTTGTTTGGAGATACAGGTAGATTAAAAACAAAAACAGTAATAATAAAAAAAACACACACAGACCATGCCTATTTACCTTGAATAGGATAAGAATAATGTGCTGGGCTTGGCTGGCTTGTGGTTAACCCTGTAGTGCAGGTAAGAACACTGTGTTGACTTGGAGATGGAGTCTGAATTAAACCACTTTCAGGTTTCATACCTGGCCACAATGCACCTGAATCAGATAAATTGGACCAATTACAAACAATACACTGGGACTGAGGAGCATGGTTATGCTTTCAAATATCAGCCAGTAGTTTAAAATCTAAATCTTAAAAGAAAAATAAATTTGCTTGTAAAAGAAAATTATGGATTCTCCAACTTATAATGTACCACAAGCAAAAACAATTTCTAAGAATTGGGGAGAGGGGCCACAGAAGCAAAAATCTTGTCAAATCCCCAATAGTGATCTATATATATAAGTTCATTTCAGTGGTTGTGGGAAACTGACCAGGGTTCAGAAAAGGAGCTACTGATAACCAACCAGGGTATTTATTGTAAAGAGTGCCTGATGTTCATGTACAGCAATAAATCATTTATCCACATTGTCAAGGTGGGACACATTCCACATAAATTTAAAATTCACTTACCCATTAATCAAGCACCAAATTTTTCTAAAATGTATTAAATACTTCTCTGCCTTCTTAAGCTGGTTATTTTGTTACCTTTGTTTCTTCTGATTAAGAAAGACATACCTGCTTATTTTTATAAATTAAAAACATTATAGAAATATGTAACTTAGAAAAAACAATCATATGTAATTCCATCATCCAGGCTTAACCACTATTAAGTTTGCAGATGAGTCACTCAGATTTTTTCTGTGCATTTACTAATCTTTCTCATTTTCAATAAAAAGGATATTATACATACTGTTCTTAATACGTTTTTCCACATAATACCTCTAAGAGACATCTTTCAATGTCAGAACATACAAATCTATCTCATTCTAAGACATCATAGCTGTTCACTTTTATTTTATTTTATTTTTATCACAATGCTCCTGAGTGACAATCTTTATAAAATACATTTATATCCTTTCCTGCCTTCTTAGCAGGGAGGAAATAGCGAGTATACCTTTAGATTTTCTCAGAATTATTGTTACAAAGACCAATACTGTGCTGATATGTATGTATATATTACAGAGACAGAAGCTATTATGATATGTGAAGACATATGCTTAGTACTAAATAGAACTCAATTACAGTTCTATAATTTTTAGGTTTTTGTATCACTTTGTCTTTTCTCTGTGATCTGTCACTTCTTGACAATATCCTGTCTCTGGTTGTAGCTCTCTTTTCATTTGCAGTAAACTAGGAAACCATAAACAAAGCTTTGCTTCTACATGAGAGCCTAAGTTTGTCCTTTATAAGTGAATAGTTTTTGTGATAACTTTACCTATGCAAAAGTCTATTTATAAAAAAAAATCTGGGCCTGCCGAGTGACGTGTTGGTTAAGAGCTGGCTTGGGACGCCAGAGGGCCCTGGTTCGGATCCCACATATGAGCGCCAGTGACACTGACCTCTACAGCTAAGATGCTGAACAACAGCTCAACCTGGAGCTGGGCTGCTGTGAGTCACCAGCGCAGGTGCAGGCTGCAGCCCCTGCTGCAGTGGGTTGCCATGGGCTACCGTGTGTAGCCAGCAGCCAGCGTGAGCGGCCAGCAGCCGC